GGGTGGAGCTGGCAGGGTCCAGTGGGACCATGGCTCCTTATATTATGTCTCTGAATCAAACTAGCTTCTAAGGGGTGCTGTGTTCTCAGTCCAAGAACCAGATGTTGGGAAAAAGTCACTTTTTCTTTTGTTTTCCTTTTCCTTTCTGTCTTATTTTTAAAGATTTATTTGTTTATGTATATGAGCACTCTACTTGCATGTATGCCTACCTGAAAGAAGAGGACATCAGATCCCACTATAAATGGTTGTGAGCCACCATGTGGTTGCTGGGAATTGAACTCAGGACCTTTGGACGAGCAGCCAATGCTCTTAACCACTGAGCCATCTCTTCAGGCCTCTCTGTCTTTCTTATTTATTTCACTACCGTCATTTTATGAGGCAAGGTCTCTCTATAGCTCTGGCTGCTCTGGAATCCCTGTCTTAAAGGAGTGCACCACTGCACCTGACTTTATCTTTTCCCCCTTTGTTTTGTTTAACTTTGTGATACAGCCCAGGCTGGCCTCAGAATGCTGATGTTCCTGCCTCCACCTCCCAAGTTCTGGAATTGGTTTGTGCCACCAAGCCTGATTCATTCATCGCCAGGACTTCGTGCATGATAGGCGAGCACTCTACTGACTGAGCCACATCCTGGCCTCTAGCTTTTTCTTGGCTGAATAAAGATGGTCTTGCACCCCTCTGTTGGAGACCTGAATGAGAAGAGTGGGGAGCACCGAAGCTTGCTTCATGACAGGAGTGCCCTGGGGTTGAGGAGCAGTATGAGGCTCCCCATTCTCCTAGACCATGAGCAGACCCCACACTCATTACTTCAGCAAACCAAACCTGTGTCTGGGGGGATGTTCAGTCACTCCAACCCTGTGTTTGCTATTGTCAGGATGCTGGAATGTGCCACCTCACCAGAATCAAGACTAGGACTTTGGCTTCAGGGATCAGCATCTTGCTGGGTCTTCCTGAGTTCTCTTGTCACATGAGCCACCTGACCTCTGATGGCCTTTCTGAAGGTAGCTGTCCTAACTAGTCCCGGGTTTAGTGTTTGCTCTATGAAGCTCTTGCCACTTCTGCTGACACTTCTGCCCTACAGGACAGCAGGGACCTGAAGCCTAATGCCCTAGACCCCAAGGGTACCATAATCTTACTCCATGCCAAGATTTCTTCCCAAGTGGTCATCTTCACAGCCGTTACACTTGTGCCCTTCCAGTTTCAGCTTTGGTACCTCAAACTCAGCAGCCCCTGTTCCGCTTCCTACATCTGTCTTGTTCTGCCAGCAGTCACGGGGAAGCTGCAGTAGACCGGTTTGCAAACTGCAGGACTTGGATGTTCTAGGATTTCCATTGCTACAACAGGATACCATGACCAAAAACCAAGTTGGAGAGGAAAGGGTTTGCTTGGCTTATACTTCCACACTGTTGCTCATCACTGAAGGAAATTGGGACAGGAACTCAAGTAGGATGGGATCCTGGAGGCAGGAGCTGATGCAGAGGCCAGGGAGCGGTGTTGCTTACTGGCTTGATCCTCATGGCTTGTTCATCCTGCCTTCCTATAGAACCCAGGTCCAGCAGCCCAGGCATGGCACCGCCTAACGTAGTCTGGGCTCTCTTTCACTGAACACTAATAGAGAAAATGCCTTAAAGCCGGATCTCATGGAGGCATTTCCTCAATTGAGGCTCCTTCCTCTCTGAGGACTCTACCTTGTGTCAAAACACAATCCCAGCCAGTGCAGGGTCCCTAACCTCTCTGAACCTCAGTTTCCCCATCCTCTGACTAGCGGTGAAGAGTAAAGGCTAATCAGACCTACTGGTATATGGCTGTAATCTTGGCTACTCCAGGGGCAGTTGAGATGATAGTTCAAGGCCTGACAGTCAGTTCAAAGCTAGTCTGGGCATTTTAGTGAGTCCCTGCCTCAGAATGAAAATATAAACAGCTGGACAGTGTTGGTGCACGCCTTTAATCCCAGCATTCTGGAGGCAGAGGTAGGCAGATTTCTGTGGGTTCAACTAGCTTGGTCTACATAGTGAGTTCCAGGACAGCCAAGGCTTATACATAGAGAAAACCTGTTGAAAACCCTGTCAAAACAAAACAAAATAATGGTTGAGTATCAAGGTTAGTGGCAGAACAGTTTTCTAGCGTAAATGAGACCATGGATTGAATCCCCATAACTTCAAAAATAACAAATAAAAAAATAGTAAATCAAGCTGCATATGGGGGTGTTCAACTACTCAAGAAGCTGAGGCTTAGATGGCAAGTTTCGGAGTAGGAAGGATGGCTCAGTGATTAAGGGCGGTTGCTGAGCGGTTCCAAGCATCCACATGGCAGCTCACAAACAATTCCAGAGGACCCAACGCCCTCTTCTGGACTCCACAGGCTCTGCATGTATCTGTGCATAGACATACAGATGGACGTGGAATAAAAAGTATATTTTTAAAAAGATTTCATACAGGTTGTGATGGTATATACTTTTAATCCCAGCATTCTGGAGGCACAGGCAGGCAGATCTCTGTGAGTTTGAGGCCTGATGTGGGAGTGATTTCTTATTAATAAAGAAACTGCCTGGGCCCCTTGATAGGCCAACCCATAGGTGGGTGGAGTAAACAGAAGAGAATGCTGGGAGAAAGAAGCTTAGTCAGGAGTCGCCATGATTCTCCCACGCCAGACAGATGCAGGTTAAGATCCTCCCTGGTAAGCCAGCTCATGGGCTACACAGAATATTAGAAATGGGTTAGAACAATATGTAAGAGCTAACCAATAAGAGGCTGAAACTAGCCGGGCCAGGCAGTGTTTAAAAGAATACAGTTTCCGTGTAATTATTTCGGGCATAAGCTAGTCATGCGGTTGGCCGGGTGCCGGGGACGCAGCCCTGCCGATCCTAATTCAACAGAGTCCAGCATGATCTATACAGAGTATTTCCAGGTCAGCCAGAGCCCTATACAGCTAGACCCTGGTCCAAACGACTCAGCTTGAAGGATGTAGCTCCAGCTTAAACAGGCTCTCGGTTCAGGCCCAGAACCTAGTACAGTGGCAAAGGCCTAAAATCCCTAGGGATGTAGAGGCAAGAGGTTAGAAGTTCAAGGTCATCCTGGGTTACATAGCAAGTTTGAGGCCAACTTAAGCTAAATGAGACCATTTCAAAAAAAAAAAAAATCCCACAGATCTTTGTTTCTTTTGTGTCACGTACCTTGGTCACATCCACCTCCAGTTCTCCGTTCCACACCATGACTACCCTCCTCCTTCATGGCCTTTCTTGGTGAGAGTGATAAAGCTCTTGTCTAGCAAGGGCAAGGCCCTGGCTTCCATCCTCAGCTCTGGGGGAGAAAAAGACAAAATAGCGGTCTACTGAGTCAATTAGCGCTGCCTGCTGGAATGTTGACTGATCTCTGTGGAGGCTCTTGTGCTGGATTTGAGCAGTTAGCCATAGCTTCAGGGAGTTCATGAGTGCAGTGACTGTCGTGTCCAGAAAACAGTACTTCGTAGCTCTCCTCCCCATCCTTCAGATCTTATGTTCTTTCTTCCCCCTCTTCCGCATTTCCCCCGAGCCTTGAGGAAACGGGGATTGACAGAGACAACCCATTCATGGTTGAGCACCCAGCGGTCACATATTCTCAGCATTTTGGCTAACTATGAGTCCCTCCTTCAATTGTTGGCCACTGCAGAGAGCAGTTTCTCTGGCCGATAATGCGTATAGACAAATAATTAGAAGGCAATTTGACACTTCCATCCAGCAAGACAGCAAGCAGTCCTAGGATCTCCTAGGGCCTATGGCCTGCCTGGCCATGGGCTTTTAACCACTTGCATTCTCTCCTGAGGAGCAGGCTCTAAATCCAACGGTAAAGTGTTTGGTTACCCCGCAATTTTTGTGCCACTGTTCCGTCAGTGGGTGTGGTACTATAGCACAAAGGTGAGACCACCGGTGGCTTTTCTTCCCCAGTGGCCTGTAGGGCACCTCCCGTCTCTGTGAGAACTAGCCGGCAGAGAGGAAGTTTCCAGTTTGATTTCTGCGTGTCCTGCAATGAAAGTGTGTGGTGCCTTCAGCCACAGTTTTACCATCTAGTCATGGTGGGCAACCAGGAGCAGTGGCAATAGGCAGTTTTTGTTGTTTTTTGTTTGTTTTGTTTTTAAGTGCATATGAAGTTACAGCTTTTGTTGTTTTTCTTGCTAAGATGAGGCTAGAGGCACAAAATTATCAATGTGGATGTGAGGCCAGCTGGCTTGAGGTCAAGAGCATCAGGCCCCAGCACAAGCATGCCTCCAGTGATGGGCCTCTTCAGTGGGGGTCAGCATTCATGATAGAAACCAAACTCCCTGCCAAAGAGGACTGTCCTGAGACCTCCGCTTCTGTGCCCTGGGCAAAAGTCAGTCCCTGGGGCCATCTTTCCATCTGTAAAATGGGTTGGGACAGAGCAGGCGAGCACCGCTTACTCCCAGCAGGCCTGTGGCCCCATGTATTTAGCAATAACAGAAATACTTCCCTGAAGTGCTGCCACTGGTTATAGCTCTAGGACAACCTCTAGGTGACCACAGTGGCTCGGAGACGGAATGGGATGGGCTGAGAAAGACAGTGAAATATCCAGAAAAAGTGGTACTCCGACCTGGGCAGGCTGGCCATGGCTTCAGGGAGGGAGGGCACCATGACGACTCCCGGGAAATTCTCAAATACTAACAGGTTGGGGAAAGAAAATGGAATAAAACGTGACATGTGTGCGAGTGTGGTGAGATCTAGGAGACCTCAGAGGGTCATGCTTGTGTTTTCTTCTTCCGGGACATTTCATCCAGAAATTTAACCTCCACCCAGCCCCCGCCGAACAAGGATGGTTTGGCGACCCTGTGCGCAGTGTCTCTGGGGGATCTCGGGGTGACTCAGATGCAGCCCGGCTGTCATCTCTTTCTCCCTCTCGGCAGGTGGCTGGAAGCTTGACGTTGACCCTACTTTGCTGCGGGGCGGGGCGGACGTCTCGGGCTCGGGGCCCGCAGTGTAGCCGCAGCGCCAGCCCCGCCCCCGCCCGCTCCGCCCTGCAGGCCGGCCGCAGCCGGGCTCGGATCCCGAGCGCCTGCCCGCCCGCTCGCCCGCCCGCCCGCGTCCGCCGAGCCAGGTGAGCGCGCCTGGCTCTGTTCCGCACGCGCCCCGCGCCTTGCGCGCTAGCCCATCTCTACCCTGGCGGCCGAGTGGGGCACTCAGGAGGCTGGAGCGACCCCGATCCTTGCTGCTGCTCCCCAGCACCCCTTTCGGCTGCCTGGAGTCCCCCCACCTTGTGCTGGTCGGTTGGTTGTCGGCTGCGTTTGACAAGGGAGTCGCAAAGAAGCCGGTAAGGGTGCTGGAAAAGGCTTCCCAGACCGAGGAAATTGCACGTGCCAAGGCAGGGAGAGTGGACAGGACGTTGGCGTCAGCACCCACCCCCCTAAATGTGAATCACAAGCTGAGGCGCTCCAAGGCAGCAGTCCCCAGGGCACCTGAAGCCACAGAGGGCCTAGGCTAAGCAGGAGAAAAACCCGACCTCCCACCCAACACACACGAGGAGCGAAGAGAGGGACCTGGATGGGCAAAAGAAGCAGGTTTCGGGCTGGCCTGTTTCCAGGGGGGTCCTGGGGGCCATGCGGAGGACCTGGGAACCTCTGTGAGGTGGGGTAACTCAGAACCTGCTTCAGGTTGCTGGAGTTCTTGGGACATGGATGCAAGCTTATAATGCGAAGTGTGTAGCAGGCAGTGTAAGAACTTTTCTGGGCAGCAAAATGCAGAGGTCTCTCCCTACAGGCCCAAGTAACTTTGCCTTTGAGTTGGGATGGCTGGCCCCAAGCTGGCCTAGCACAGCATAGGTGGAAGGCCTGGTCCCCACCAAATTTCCCGCTAGGCCTGAGGCACCTCCTGGGCACCTGGGAAGGGAGTGAACAGCTGGCTTGGACCCCAGGGTCAAAAGTCAGTCTGTTTGTAGGACCTCAGGCCCAGACAGGTGAGGTCTAAAAGCAGGCAAGAAGGAGGTGGGCCGAGTTAGGCACGGGGGAAACCAGGACCTGGGAAAGGGCTCTCTAGTTCCCAGGAAGAGGGCAACTGGCAACTGAGTTTTATAGACATGCCTTGGTGACAAGTGGGTAAGAGCACACCTACGTGGCTTTGGATTCCTCCTCCCCTGTATTGCTGCTACCATCAGGAGCCAGCAGTGACTGGGCCTTTCCTTCCTTCTTGGTCCCCAGTCCCTTCCTGGGGTCTGGGCAAACAAAGTGAGTCTCAGCACCCCTTTAGTGTAGACTTGAGGAAGAATTTCTAGGTGAGGTGAGTGGGCCAGACTGCTGGTAGAATGTGGAGAGGTCAGTTGTAAACAGGATAGTTACACCTTTGTCCTGAGCCTTCCAGAGTCCACGTCTTCCGGAAGGCCCACCTGTGCAGGAGGACACGTAGCCACAGTGATCTGTTTACCAAGTACTCTTGGCCTCCAGTTTGAGTGATTTTAGAGTGATCTGGGGAACTCTGCTCTCCTTAGGAGTTATTAGGGTGGGGCGTGGGGGACCACACAGATACCCTACCTGCTGCTTGACCGTGATCAGTCTTTCTACCTTCTGTGGGGCGTGACCTCGGCAGTGCACAGCCAGCATGGGGGGTGGGGTACTGATCACTGCTGGGCACAGGGCAGAGCTGTGTGGTCGGTCTCTCTCTTCCCCAACCCCATCAGTCCTGGGCTGGCTGCCCGCTCTTTTCCCCACAGAGCTGGGTTTCCCTGGGGACCAGTGGCTTGGCCTAGCCCCACACCCACAGCCCCCTCCTGGCCACAACTCAGCTAGAAGGAGGGCCGGACCCTCCTGGACCCTGGCCCTCTCTGCCCTGCAGTCCAAGGCCCAGTAGTCTCCACTGCTGAGCTGGGAGCAAGGAGCAGTGACTCCCTTGGAAGGAGGTAGGTGACTAGGGGTTTCCAGTCAGGGTAGTGGCCAAGGCTGGGACAAGACCCTTGTCATTCCCGTTGGAGGAAGAGGGACTCTGGTTCCTAGGGTTTGGTGCAGACTTGGAGGACTTTCCTAGGAAAATGGAGAGTCCCAGAGTCTCTCTTGGGGGAGAAAGGGGAAGTCTGGGGTCAGGTCTCTGCAGCTGTCGGCTACATAGAGGGTGACAGACACTAGGACACCGAGATAAGGGGAGTGTGAGGGTCCTATGCCTGGAAACCTCAAAGGGAGACAGATGCTTCAGAGTACCCACATCCGAGTTCTGAGCTCCCCACGTAGGGCTCTTCCAGTACTCCCATCCCCGCCGCCACCAAAGATGTCTCTGACTCTCCCCACATGTTCATCAGTGTCCACACCTGCACCAATGTCCCCTCTCACCTGCAGGCTCTAAAGCTGTCCAGTTGGCATGGCAGCTCCAGCGTCTCTGAGGACCACAGGGGGTCCAGTCCTGCAGGGGACATCGTAGACCTTGGCCAGCCGGCCAGCCGGACAGCCTGCCATCTGCGCTCCCGCCAGCCAGGCCAGATCTCAGGCCATTCACCATGGGCGGCTGCTTCTCCAAGCCCAAGCCAGGTACCTCCCCTTCTCTGACAGCCTCCCCCTCCCTCTCTGCACTCCACCAACCTCCAAAGTAGGTCAGGCAAGGCAGGAGCCCAGAATGTTAATGCACTGTAGGCAAGAGGGGCGAAGGCCTAAGAAGGCTCTCCTGGACTCTCCCCTGGCAGCCCCTCTTTATTTGGGGCTTTGTGTGTTGGTGGTCGGGACCACAGTCGGTCCCTCTTAGAAAGTGGAGTCTGGAAGGTTGGAGAAGGGGCTACTTCCTCCATCGCTTGAGAAGAGAGGCTCCAGAAATATTCTTAGCTGCAGTGTGAGGCTGTTTCCCTCTCTGCAAAATAGACCTGGACACTGACCTCTCAAAGAGGCTGGTAGGGTATGATGGGCGGGGCTCTTCACCCCGTCGCTGTGATAGCCGATGTCATCTCTGGGCCTCATTTCCTTTTTCTGTTTCTTTATTTCTTTGTTGTTGTTTTTGTCTATTTGAGTTTTTGTTTTTTGAGACAGGGTCTCACTATGTAGACCAGGCTGGTCTCAAACTTACAGGCTGGTCTCAAACTGTGCCTTGCAAGTGCTAGGCTTAAAGGCATGCACCATTGTGCCCTGTCTCCTCTCCGTTTATATAGGAAATCCTGGCCCTACCGAGCCCTAGAAGCCCCAGCCAGATAGGGTGATTCTAAGGTAGGAGAGCACTTGGGATCTGCCCTGACACTGGACTTAGGCCTTTGAGTTTCTCCCCCAGTCCACACATTCCTTCTTCCCTAGTCATAACCTCCAGGAAGCAGGACCTGTCGCCATGACAGGATGCAGAACTTGAGGGCTTCAGAGCCCAGGCAGTGCTCCACCCACCCCTACCCAGCTTGCCCTGGTTGGCTCACTCTGCCAGCTTGTGTAGCTCTCCTTACCTGATACCCAGCAGCTCGGTTACCTTGGGACTCAGACTTTTCTCTTTTTCTTGGGCTTGTGGTAGGACTTGGGGGAAGAGGCAGAGTTGTGACCCACTGGTGGTGGTGGTGGGAACTGTTCTTCCTTGCCTGAGTCTGTACCAGGTCCCTCAGCCTCTGCCACAGGTACCCATTGTCTTATTCCCCTTCTCGGAGTGGACAGGGATGTGCCAGCAAGATTCCACGTGAGTCACATACTGGGTACCTGTGGGACTGCTTGGCTAGCAGGAGCCCAAAGAAACAAGCTATCATCTGTAGTTTCTTTTAAATAACCCCAAAGAGCTGGCCTAACCGGGGACCTCTGACTCGCAGACTTTAGATTTAGAGCTAGCCATTGTCCCCTGACCCATCCCTTATCTGCTGCTTTGTTTTGTAACTTTTTTTTAAGGCAAGGTCTCATATAGCCCAGGATGGCCTCAAACTCTTTATGGAGTTGAGGATGATCTTGAATTTGTGATTCTCCTACCTCCACTCCCTTAATTCTGGAATTAGAGGACTGTACCATTAAAAGTTAGTTTATTTAGTACTAGGTATAGAACTCAGGCTTTGGGAACGCTAGGCAAACACTTTGCCAACTAAGCTATAGCCATAGTTCCTTCTTGATTTTTTTTCAAACTTATTTTTATTATTTTAAATTGGGTGGAGTCGGTGGGGTGTATGTGGGTGTGTGGGTGTGCTTGTGTGTGCACACAAGTGCAGGTGCATGCAGAGGTCAGAAGACTCAAACCCCTGGATAGGGTTATAGGCTGTTTGGAGCCACCTGATTTGGGTGTTGGATCTCAAACTCTGGAGGAACAGTATGTGCTCTAGCTCTAGCTCTGGTTTTGTTTGTTTGCTTGCTTTTTTAAAAAAAAGGATCTATTTATTTATTTACTTATTTGGTTTTTGTGTAGCAGCCTTTGCTGTCCTGGAACTCGCTCTGTAGACCAGGCTGGTCTTGAACTCAGAGATCCACCTGCTTCTGCCTCCTGAGTGCTAGGATTAAAGGTGTGCACCACCACGCCTGGCCTTTTTTTTTTTTTTTTAATTTTATGTATGTGAGTGTTTTGCTTGCAGGTATGGAAGTGCATAGCATGTGTGCAGTGCTTGTGGAGGCCAGAAGAGGGCATCTAACTCCTGAAACTGGAGTTACTGGTGGTTAGTTGTAAGCCATGGTGTGGGTGCTGGAAATCAAACCTGGGTCCTCTGCAAAAGCAGCAAATACTCTTGACCTCTGAGCTACCACCCCACCCCCTTTTGGTTTTTGATTTTTTTTTGTTTGTTTTGGGTTTGTTTTGTCTTGTCTTGTTTTTCGAGACAGGGTTGCTCTATAGCTTTGGAGCCTGTCCTGGAACTAGCTCTGTTGACCAGGCTGGCCTCAAACTCACAGAGATTTGCCTGCCTCTGCCTTCCAAGTGTTGCAATTAAATGGGTAAGCCACCACTGCCTGGCTCAGTGCCCCCCTTTTAAAAAAGACAGAGTTATACAATTTAGCCCTCAATGACTGTATAGACTAAGCCAGCCCAGTGCTCTGAGCCTCCCCCAGGCTGGGCTCACAGACCGTGCTCATAACACCCAGTTTATGTTTATAAAGCTTTGTATTTTATTTGTTTTTTGTTTTTTTTTTTTGTTTTTTTTTTTTTTTTTTTTTTTTTTTTT